TTTCCTGGGGAACTTTCATTTTCCTGGACAAAACTTTCATTGGGAAAGATTTCTCAAGATTTCTTAGGATCCATGTGGATTTTCTGGTGAGAAAAAAAGAAACAAGCATCACAAAATAGTCAATAGCCAGTGTATTTCATGATATGCGACAGATTATCAGACCATTGACTTTGACTTGAATCTCTCTTTCATGGCAAGTAAGTGCCCTATTCATTGAGCTATCGGCTATTCTGAGGTACAGGTCTTTTTCTCTCATTCTCCCATACTGTTTTTTCAGTGGGAAAAAAACTTTTGAAAAGTTAGTTTTATTTTCGTGTGGAAACTTATTTTTTTTAATTTGGTTTCAACTGCATATCTCAGTGGGGAAACCAATAGCTGAATTATCCAGTCCACATTCAGTGCTTTATCATATTAAGAGCTATAAAATTACATGCACCATACCTTGACCAAATCTCAGTTGGGGAAGGGGAAGAATCCTCTCATCTTGACCAGTTATATCACTGCATTGATGATGAGTTCAGACATGCTGTGCAGGTGGATAGTTTCCCTTTGTGAAAAAAGAACAGTGCCCAAGATCATCAAAAGCTGGGATAACCTTTTAAATGGAATTAAACTCTGCCCCTCTATATGGTCCATTTTTTTAATCCTAGGTTTGGGCTTAGGCCAATAGTTGGGCCAAGCATTACATAAGATTAGCCTAGAGGCAGTGCTTGTGTTTCTTTAAAATGAGATATGTTCAGTCAAAAAGGAAATGACCTGCAAGAAGCAGAATACAATAGAGCTAACTGAGTGATTGTTGCTGAGCGTTAAGGCAAGCCTGCTCCTTTAAGAGCAAAAGCAGCCTAGCTAGAGAGCCCTGAGAGCCAGGCATAGCTCCACAGCTCCAGGTTGCCTGGACAGCAGGCTAATGAGAAAATTAACTGGCACCTGCAGACAGTCAGCTGAGCAGCAGAAGGCAGGGCCCTGGGCACATATAAGCCCCAGGACTAGGGCTGGCAGGAGTTAGTCCTCTGGCCCATGCCAGGGGAGGAAGCTCCTGCATGAGAGAGCTACCTGGGGAATGTTTCATTGTTTGATCTGCTGCCTGCAAAATGAATAGGGCTCCCAGGGCTCATAAGGTACCTGGGTCATGGAGGCACACAATACTATGGGAGAAGTTGGCCTTCTTAAAGGGGCAGAGTGTGACCTCCATTGTTATTGCTATGTTGTAGCCCAGGGCTTGTGTTTATGTTGTCATTTGTACTAGTGGACTGGGATGAGGCTATAGGGGAGGAGGAGACCTCAGTGGGGCACACTATTGTATAAAGCCCCAGTGCCAGAGGGGCACAGTGGCAGGGGCCACAGAGCTCTGCACCAGGAAAGGGACAGCAACAGGGGCACAGTAACAGGTGCTCAGTGACAGGGGCGCAGTGAGCCCAGCACTAAAAGAGCTCAGTGACGGGGGATGTAGAGCCCAGCCTCAGAGGGCACAATGACAATAGAAGGCTGAGTTAGGCCAAGACCTTATCACAGGGACAATATCCATATACCACCTGCAAGGCATGGGGCATGATAAAGGGGAGGTTTTGGAGCCACACATCTAGTCCATAAGGCTTTAGGGTGTCCCATGAGGCATTGACTTAGAGTGGGATCCGGCAAGGGATCCGAGAACATGCAGGATCTAGCTGGGTTCAAAAGGACCATGGCCACACAGAAACTCATGGGCAGCCTTCCTACTTAATATCTTAACCATCAAGATGTGGCAGGTGAGACTGGAAGGCACCTGCAGGGCAAAGCTGTCACAGTTATGGAGCAATAGAGGCAACACAGCCATCTCTGGGGACCCTGTGCTGTAACAGTGATATGTGTGGGCCTTGGAGAAGGCCTGGAAAGTAACCAGGGGGAGAAAGGCAAGTCAGAGAGAATATGGTCAGTGCTGACCTAGATAGAAGAGGGCTCTGAGTTCTGGCCTCTGCTTCCAAAGGCTTTTCTTCACCTTGCTTTTGATATTAGAATCATAGAAAGTTAGGGTTGGAAGGGACCTCAGGAGGTCATCTAGTCCAACTCCCTTCTCAAAGCAGGGCCACCTCCAGCTAGATCATCCTAGCCAAAACTTTGTCTAGCTAGTGTTTGAAAGGATGGAACTTCCACTATCTTGGATAAACAGCAGTGTGACAGTCCCTTATTCCTTTGATAAACAGCAGTGTGACAGTTGTCTGCACTGGGGGTAGGTAGGGCCAAAATCCAGACTCCCTTTCAGTGCACCATCCATCTCACTGGGCCATACTCCCTCTGGCATGCTCTTCTTCTTCTAGTACACATATTTTCTCCTCTATCTCTTCCTCCTCCACTTCAATTTCAACAGACAGGTATAGATCTGGACAATGCAATTCTGCCACAGGTGGAACAGAATCCAAACTGTGAGTGCCAAAAATATACTTGGCTGTATGAGTATCACTTATCTGAGTAAAGGTGAAATAGGATGTAGTCCTTGGTTTGCTGTGATAAAGCAGCTTGGCACCCAACTAATACCACTTAATATTGTAGTTAGTTCTCTGAAGTTTCAAAAGATATTTAATAGCCTTATATCATGTGTACTTGGCTGCATCCATAGCTTGCTCCCACTCATTGATTTATGCTCCTGATACTTGGAACTACTGTATAACCTGGCCCTGTCATACAAATTTGATACTGGTGAAAATCATTAATGTGGGATAAGAGAACTGATATTACATATTGTCACCAAACTAATTTTAGCTCCTTCTTGGGGACAAGTGAGTTGTCTGGCCTTAAGAAAAGGATTTTCCTGCCACTTCTATCAAAAGTACATTGAGCAGTCTATCTTCAGTGGAACCAGGCAGAATCAATTTTCAGAAAAAGCATTCCTTCTTAATACTGAAAACATGAATTCTTTTCTAAAATAAATGCTTTTGATCTCATTGCTTCCATGCATTTTAGTTAGTAAGTATATATCTCATTCACATGGTTTAACACATCAGTATGATTCTGTTTTATGCAAATCGCCATGGTATTTGAATGCCATCAGAGGGTTTCCAAGGTGGAGAGAAGAAATATTTGTTGGGTATCTTAGGCATATGATACATTTGCATTTAGAACTTCACGCTTCCCTAAGTGAAAAGGGTTTGGTGGGCCCACTGAGCACAGAAGGGCTTAAAGAGCCAAAGCCCCTAGTTTTAAGTGGTGGAGAAATATTAAAGGTCTAATTCTGCAACCCATCTATTCATAATACTCCTGCCATTTTCTATGCTGAGCAAGCTTTATGTCCCAGTCCCTTGATTCCAGCTGTTGTCTTTGGAAATGTTCAATGTACTTATTATTATACGCATTGATCCATTGCTGAAGACCCGTTCATGACATTTCAATTTTCATTAGCTCATGTTTGGAAGCTAGGGGCTTTATGTATAATGCTTTTGGAAATGTAGGAAGAATATGAGTAAAATCATGAAGACTCAGCAGTTTTCAATCTGACCTCTTGTGTGTGCATATGTGTGTGTATCTATATCTATATATATAATAATAATAGCAGTAACATTTGATTCTTCTTACTCTACATAATACATGACTTTGTTCCTCATCATCAGCAACTGAAACATGGATGAAAGCGGATCAACAGAACTGCTCTAAAGCAATTTTCTGCCCTCATCTAGATGGGCCTGTAACATGCCAAGTGATCAGTGTTATCAAATATGAAACTAGCCACATTATATATATATATATATAAAGGTAGCCACTATATATGTGTGTGTGTGTGTGTGTGTGTGTGTGTGTGTGTATGAAACTTTCCTGGAAACCATTACTTATGGACTTGAAGTGTCTAAAAATCCCACATTGTCCAGGTGCTCCTTAAGTTGCTTAGCAACTGCCTCCTTAATCACCTTCTCCAAAACAAGGAGATTTGACACAGTGTAGTAATTAGATGGTTTCTTGAGGAGGGTCAGGACCTCGGCATATTGTATCTGGGACCTCGTTCTACCCTTCAAAAAAGAGGTGTTAATGAAAATGTCCATCCACTGGGAAAGTGCCTTTCATGAGCCCGCTGGTTATCCTGCCAGGATCCTCATCCACTCATGTGGCAAGACACTGTCAAAATCAACCATGGACTCATTCATGGCCACTTGTACTGATGTTCTTGGTTGCAGAGTGACAGGCTCAGAGACAACTAATTTAGTCTGTGAAGAACAGAAAGGCTTGCTCACAGGATTCGTGGGAAGGTTTTAGGGGCAGAGGTTCTCTCTGGGAGAACCCAAGTCTGCTGTTCTTGGGTTAATTGCTAGCTGACTCTATGTTGCCTGTGTAGTCATGACATGTGATTATGGCCAAAGAGGAATTTGGCACTTGAGTGAATGGAGTGGAGTAAGGTGTGCAGGGAAATGGGAAGGGGGTACAGTCTGAGGTGCAGCACTGTCATGTCTTCCTGAGAACTTACTAAATACTGCTGTTGTCTATGAGAATGAACTGAACGTGCTTGTGGATAAAAGTTATAACAATAAGCCTCATTCTTCCAGCTGATTGGTGACACCTCCGTTTTCTCTCATACCTTGTCTTAGAACAGGTGCTGGGTAGGTTGTTTTTTTTTATCCACTCTCTCCTATACTTTTCTCTCTTCATTCTTTTACCCCTCTTTCTGTCTATCTGCTTAAATTTTTAGCTCATACATGTGTTTTGCTACCTTCCTCTGATTGCTCCCCCATCCATTTTATTGCCTTAGCAGGGCCAGAATGTTTAAATGAGATTAAAGGAACTGATACCCAATCCCATTAATTTTTGGGTACTGAATTCCTTTCAAGCACCTCTGGAAATCCCAGCCTCCATTCTCTTCAGCCTGAAGAGGATCCAGTGGGAGGTCTTCTGGTCAGGAGCAAGGATGAGGGGACAGGGAGTTAGGCATGGCAAACATGGGCATTAAATGCATGGACCCAGCACACATTTTCGTGAGTCTGTGCCTGTTCCTCAAGCCATCTGTACTAAACCTATACACAGGCAAGAAGGTTAGGCAGGTACCCCAGCTTTACCTACAATAGCTCCTTGTATATGTCTAGAATCATGCAGCTTCCCACTTCCAACAGGTCCTGTCTCCATATGCATCTTGAATAGTCTGGCTTTTTTCAATGAGCTCCATCTCAAGGTTGAGAAATTCTGGGATAAGATGACTTTTTTCAGCCAATAATTTTAAAAGATCACATAGCTTTGCAGTCCTAATATCAGAAGGCAATTAATTTTGCATAATTTCCTTTGGGGTCTGGTTTGTTTGCCATGTAAAATGAGATCTTTTATAGAAGCAGTGTTATTAAAAGTAGAAGATGACACCAGGTTAAGCTGACATGGTTAATCATTATAATTTACTGAAATTTCCTATCATCCTGGGGTCTTTTAAAAATTAACATATGACATCACACAATTGTAATATGATGTAGGTATTTGTTAATATCAGCTATCTGAAGAGCTTAGTAATGATGATATGGTTTCCACTGGTTTGTACCGAATCTTGGTTGTCGCAGTGTCGCCCATTTATTCTGAGGTGGGCCAATCATGACATTTATTCTCTTACTGATGGTTTATGGGGCTGTGGATTGCAGCTTTGTATTCTTTTACCTATTACGTCTACAGTACTAACTGCCAGCTGACTTTCCCTTTTATGAACTTGTTGGTTTTAGATCATGTTCTTTCTTTTCCTGTGTTGTGGTTAGCCATTTTCTGACAATATTTTATTAGAGGTTTTTCTTCTGACTTCAAAAATAACCACTTATTTCTGAGTCAGTGCTAAGATTTCCTAGGCTTTTCTCTGGAAGATCTAAATATACTTCGGGATTCAACTGCAGTTCTGTTGAAATGCAGGTTTCAAAGTGTTTTGGATTACTAAAATTAGTGTATAACTTCCTGACATGCATAGAGGTGCATTCTAAATTTGCCTGCTTCCTTAAATGCAAAACCTCTGTGTATGCCTTAAGGGGCACTCGGTTTTCAACATAATTTGGTCTTGTTATTGTTGACAGGAAAGGAAGTGGGCAGCAGATTTGATAAACCAATGCTTATTTTAAGAACTGAATTTTAAGATGGTGCCATCAGGATAAGTGCTTTTATAAGATTTGATTTCCAAATAGGTCCAGACCTGAGTGTGCCAAAATACCACAATAAGGTGCTTTTCGTTATTATTTACCTTGATTATTGAAACTTTTCTTCTCTGCAGTCTGAAGTGAAAGCAATAAGATGATTGACTCAGAGTTTAGAAGGGACCTTAAGGATCATATAGTCCAAACCCTTAAGGGTTATATAGTCCAAATCTTGCAGATGCAGAATTTTCTGTCTTTAAACCATCCGTGACACATATCTACCAGCCTCTTCTTGAAAACCTGTAGGAAAAGAGATTTCACAGCATGTTCCATTGTCCTACACTTCTTATTCTTACAATTAGGAAATGATCACTCAGCCTTTCTCACATGGCTTGCATTTAACTGCTAAACTTTGTCACTCACTTCAAAGTCCTCTCCAGTATCTTTACATTCTTAAAATATGATGCCCCAGACTAGACACAGTACTCCAGCTGAAGTCTACACAGTAACAAATAGTGGATACCATCAACTTCTATGTATTTCATACAATAGATCTATTGAAGCAACCCATATTTGCATTTGTTTAATGACAGCATTTCATTGATGACATGGGTTGAATTTATGTCTATCATAAGCCCAGATCCTTTTTGACAGTTCTGCTGACAAGGTAGTTATCCCACATTGTGCATTTGTGCATGTGGTTTTCATACTGTATGGGAGCATCTACATGTGATGCTTTATTGCGCATTATCACATGCTCATCTACAAGTTCACATGCTTATTGCACAGGAAAATCACTATTCATGAGTAAATTTGCTACCTGCAAATGCAAGTAACAAATGTACTTGTGAGTAATTACTGCATAGAAATACACGTGCAGATGCCAACGAGGAGCACATTTGCTCCTAGTCAGCCCCACCACTATGAGGCCAGTCTCAGGCACAGGGAGCCCTGGTGCACATATAGGAAGCCTGAGGCCACACCAGGCCACTCTGTCCCCCTGTGCAGGCCTCAGTCCAGCTGTGCCAGCCTACCTGCACCCCAGCTCTGCTGCCTGTGCCACGCATCTGCCAGGCCCATGCCATCCAGCTCTGCAGGCTGCTGCAGGCTCCTGCCAGGCCTCTCAGTACCCAGGTCCAGCTTCAGGCAACTCCTGGCCACCAGGGCCAGCTCCAGCTGCCTCCAAGCAACCCCCAGCAGCCAAAGTCTTCAGGTACTATGGGGCATTGCCTTGCCACAAGGCTCCCAGTCCCATGCTGTGCCCCTGTACTGGACACTGCAGGCACCTGCCCAGGCCCAGCAGCACAGGGACAGCCACAAAGAGGCCTGGAGAGCTGGTGTGGGAGCTTCAATGGCTTTGTCATTGCCCACATCACAACCCACCACCCAGGGCCCCAGCTGGTCACAGGAGGAGACTGGAGACCTCATTGCACTGTGGGGTGAGGTGGAGTTGAAGCAGCAATTCACACAGAGTGGGTGCCCCGATGCCCATGCCTATGAGAGGCTATCAGGCCAGATGCAGGAGCACAGACATGACTGGCTGGCATGGCAGTGCCGCATAAAGGTCCCTGGATGTGAGGAGCAAGCCTGGGCTACCCCAGAACCTCCACCACCACCTGGAGGATTACCTGTGGCTGAGCTACATATCCCTGCCCACCACTGCTGAGGAAGATATTGCCACCGGCATTAATGCATTATTCAGCATGTGAGAGACTGCTGCTTGCCTAACTGCAGGGGCATGGGCTGCTCAATAAAATTTTGTACTGTTTCCCACCTCCCTGCATGCTGTGGGGGGAACCCAGGCACAGGAGACTGTGGGTGGGCTGGGTAGAGAAGGGGCCAGGGACAGGGGCCAGAGCAGGGATGGCCTTGCCCCCAGTGCAGGCTTTACCTCATGGCAAGGGCTGGTATAGCTGAAGCTCCACACAGTCACAGCTTTTGGCAATAGTGTGCACCTCTGGCCAGTGTCCTTGGATGGTGGGGCATGGCAGGTGGGTGCCTAGTCAGTGCTGGTGGCAGACAGCGGTCTTATAGCTGTTTTGCCTTGTGGTTGGAGTTGCACAGTTGGCATGGCAGGTGCCAGTCCAGGATCCCCAAACTGATGGTGGAGACTGCAGCTGGGAAGCTGGGCAGGATGGGTTGCTGGATGCCTGAAGGGCCCTCCTCCAGTGATGTGTCACCATGGGTGCCAGGCCAGGGCAGGCCCTTGGGAATACGTGGGTTCTACTCCAGGGGCTTGGAAGGAGCACTGGGCCAGGAGACAGCTGTGTCCTGACCAGGGCTAGAACATTACACCCCGAACCCAGGGATTGCCTTGTGCCAGGGTGGGGATAATATCCCCCTGCCCCAGAAGCAGGTAGCTCCTGGCCCTGAATTCAGAATCAGGGGCAGGGGACTTGGAAAGAGCTTCAGGGGAAGGGCAGATTCCAGCCCCCTGCCCCGATATCCTGATCTTGGAATGGGGGACTAGGAGCTTCCTGCTGCTGGGGCAGGTGGACATAGTCCCCTTTCTGGTTCCAGTGGTGGAGCCCACCCTAACAGCAAGTAGCTCTCAGGGGCAAGGAGCAATCTCCCACCCCCTGGTGGACAGCTGACCTGGAACCAATTTGCTCCTGGTCAAGAGTCTATATGAGTGCTACTGTACTGTTACTAATTGAAAGTAAATTTGCTAATTGCATTTGCAGGTAGCAAATTTACTCATGATTAGCGAGGTTTACTGCACAGTAAGCAGGTGCACGTGTAGACACACATGCTTATTGTATAATAATCTAAGCTACTACACAGTAAAGCGTCTTGTGTAGATGCACCCAGTGTCCACACATATGGCCCTATTAGGCCTCAGGAAACTAATTAACTCCCCAGGTTAGTACATATAAATATCGTACAGTAGAGTTCTTTAGTGTGCAGCAATATATGTGTAAAAACTAACAGGGCTGGCTGGGGCACAAAGGTGCTTCAATGCTGGGGCTGCCTGCTGACTAGCCCTGCACTGGAGAACCCTTTTGCCCCAGCCAGCTCCTCTGCAGCATGCTGAGCAGCCATGGGCTTACAGGCTGACCTCAGGGCTGCTCCAACCCGGCTCAATATAATGTGGTTCACAGTGCACATGAAGACACAACAGCCAGGAGCAGTAAACTCCAGCATATTATGTGCTAGACTTTATTGCTCTGTGCTAATAGCACATGTAGATGCACCCAGTTTATCAAATATTACTTAAAGAGGAAGATTATAATTTTCTCTGTGTCCACTGGGGATAGGACAAAAAGTAACAAGCTTAAATTACAACATGGGAGATTTTTAGACATTTGAAAACAAAACATTCTAATTGTGAGGATAGTTAACCATTTGAAAAGATTTCTAGGGAGGCCATGAAACCTCTATCATTGGACGTTTTATTAAGAACAAGTTAGGCAAACATCTGTTAAAAGTGGTTTAGGTTAGTTTGATAATGCCTTGGGGGAAGATGGACTAGATAATACCTCCCTGCCCTATTTTCTCTATGAATTCATGTTCTGTGAAAATCAGTTTTTCAATAGGAGGATTAATAGGTTCCACTGTTTTCAGATTTAAGACTGAGCTTTTTAAAATACAAAAGCTAACCATCAAAGCCTCTTCCACCTAGTCAACTATTATTATCATCATCATCAACAACAATGACAATACTAGTACTACTACTACTACTACTATGTGTACCAATCATTAGAATACTATATTTTCTGGAATATAATACATGCCCTGTCTTTGAAAAGGTAGTACGAAAAAAAATATTGTCTTGAATAAATACCTAAGTAGCAATGGTTAGGGAGCTAAGCCAGCTCCTGAGCCTGCTGCCAGCCTTGCACACCAGATGGGGCCCATGGACCAACCCCTCATGGTGAATCAATGTCATGCCAGGTCTGGGGCTATACATTGGGTCCAACCCTGGGTATGGGACCTGGGGCTGTGACTTAATATAGTGCACTGAGTTTGGGGCCACGTGCTGGGTTCATTTCTGCATACTGAGCTTGACTCTGTGTGCTAGGTTCAAGGCCAGTGCGGCAGATCTGAGGGCATGAGCTGGGTCCAGTTGGCCAATACTGCATGCATAGTAAAAGGCAATAAAGAGCAACCAACACAGTTAAACTCACCTCTTTGAAATTCTTCTGCTCTTAATAGCAGAATAATATGCTCCACACATCTGCCAGCTTTGAACAGAAATAAAATCACACATACAGGTACTGTAATGTACAATCTAATTAGTGTACTAAAGCTTAATATATCTGAGGCTTTTGTAAATATAAAAACAATTATAATAGAACAAATCCATTCCTATGACATGATAATGAAGATTCTTACGCTTCTGTAATGAAAGGGTTTATTACACATAGTTTCATTATCTTGCAGTGTGCCTTACTTAATATATTATATAGCCTCATGTACAGCAATTAAAATGATAATATACTGAAACAGACATACAGAATCTGAATAATCATACAATTTGTAGCATGATTCACTAATGTACCATTCTCTTCCACACCGTATGCTTGTTATCAGTTTAATTTGTTATTCCATGAGATGGCCACCTCAATGATCTGGATTTTCCATCCCCTACAGCAATACTGTGTTGTGTTGTTTTGAAATAATTTTCAAAGGAACCTCTAGACAGGCACTGTTTTTCTTGACCTCACAGCAGTGTACAATACTGTTTAGCACACTGGTCTGCTCATAAAAATAGCAAAGAGTCCTACATGCATGGGTGACTGACATTGTCAAACTGCTCCTTTGCAATAGATGGTTCAGGGTGCACATGGGTGAGAAGACAAGTACTTGCAGAAGACAGACCAAAAGACTGCCTCAGGGGTCTGTGCTTGCTCTGACCTTGTACAACCACTACACCAATGGCCTACTACAAACCCAGTCATGTAAATTCATCTATGCACAGTGATGACATCTGCTGTGGATTCCAGGCCAGGACTTTCTCTGAGCTAGAACACACTCTGAATAGTGATGTCACAAAGCTGGCTGACTACTGCAAGACTTGGTGCCTCTAGCCAAGCATTTCTAGTATTTTCCACCTCCATAATTCCAATGGTGCCCAGGAGCTGAACATCTACCTGAATGGTCAGAAGCTGAAGTACAAAATACAACCCATTTACCTGAGTGTGACATTGAACCAGACATTGAGCTACCATGAACACTTGAAAAAGACAGTAATGAAAGTTAAGACATGGAACAATCTCCTTTACAAGCTCATTGTGGGGTGCAAGAGCCTCAACCCTAAGGATGTCACCTCTTGCCATCATGTACTCTGTGGCAGAGTACTGCGTACCAGACTGGAACTGGTCATCACACACCAAACTCACAGATGTGCAGTTACATTTGATGATGCACATTGTGGCAGTTAGAAGCTGGCTGCCACTCAAGTCAACTTACCAGAAGTGCCAGGAGAAGCTTGGCAGAGAGAGGAGCTGGTGCATGTGACACTGGTGCCAAGAAGAGAAACCCCGGCCCCAGTACTGACACACTTTGTAAGTGCATGCCAGCTCTATTTGGCTGGATGGAACCCAGGTGGAGGGCTAAAAGCTGCCTGGAATGCAGAAGAGATCAGACTGGAAGTGAGCAGTAGAAGTGGCATAAAATAGTATCCATGCTCAAAGTGCCTTGGGAGGGGCAGATGGTGGAAACCCAGTTTAGGTCCCATTCTTAGAGGCTCAGAGGAGCTTATTGACTCACCTGCAGGAGACACGAGGGAGGCATGGGATGATGGCTGGTTCCCTGGCAGCAGAGGTCCTGCAGCAAGAGAGAGAGACAGAAAGAGAGAATAAAACCATGAGTGACGGTTGCATTAAGGGGCTATCTCCCTCTCACCTCAACCTTGATACTAAGAAGGATCATGATTAGTTTGATTTGGGATATCTGTTTTCTTTAAGGACTGCATTTTTCTGTTTAAGGCTCCAGGAATATACTGGCAGCCTAAGACTCTTTCTAGAAGGTAATACGGAGTTCACAGGACCTTACTTACCTGGCAGTAGCAGTAATACTGGGTTGGCACTAGGCAGGGTGTAGGGGAGGTAGAGCCCCAAGAAATGTTGCCTGATTTGCCTAAGTGTCGGTGTGTGGAGATACAAGACCTTTCCCCCAATTTTTAATAATCAGAAACATCAAAGACAAGCCAGGAAAGAACATCAGACACTGTGAGATCCTAGCCAACAGGTCAAGCTGGCAGCCTGTAGGGTGGAGGGAGTAAGGGACTGTGCCAAGAAAAGTAGATGCCCAGTCAAAAAGACACATGGATGTCTACACACGTCATCTCAGGAACTCTTTGACTGACTTCCCTACCATGATTCCCAGTCCTAAGCAGCATTATTCCGCCTCATATCCAGTGGGAAGTTACATCTAGCAAACAACTGGAGAAGATCTATGACAATCCAAGCCTGCCATTGCACAATGATCCCTTAAATCCACCTGCTGCATGTTTACCATCATGACACCCATTGTGGTCCAAACTGCCACACCAGGACCACATGGCAGAGACCCTCTGGTGTGAGGAATGGAGATCGACAAACCACCAAACAAGGTCCTTATTAGAGATCCTATAGTCTACCCATCTGGCTTCAACCTGCCATCCTATCAGTGGGCCCTGATGAATAGGTTCCAGACAGTGCATGGTCTGTGTGCGGCCAACCTCCACCATTGGAGTTCTGGCAACAATCTAGACTGTAGTTGTGGCAAAAGACACATCATGATACATATTGTCAATGACTACCTGCTGACTAAGTTCAGTGGCAGTCTACAGGAACTGCACATAGCCAGTGAAGATACTACTGCATGGCTCAGCAATTTCTGACAGCAATACTTGCATCTGAAAGCATCCAGTAATATTTGTTCCCTCATGCTGTGGAGAAGGTGTACAGAAAAATCCTGTCTTATATCAGCAAAGCTTCTGCGTAGCCCTTTTTAGAGAACAGTCAAGCAAAATATCCAGTAGTGTCCTTGCTAGACCTGACCTGAGAACATAACTCAGCAGGATGTGAGGACAAAATGTCATATAATGTTGCTTGTAAAAAGTGGAATATCTCATCCATTCAGCAAATATGAAATTATGTTTTAGGTTTAGAATTTTATGTAGGACAAACAATATAGCATAGAACATAATATATTTCAATAGCATACTGCACAATCAGTAACACCAATATACATAACCCTCCAAGTGCATTATTACTCTCAGGAAGATACCTCAAAAGACTGAAGTGCAACATGAAGTTGTATACATCATTGGCCAGTGTCTTATAGTATTGATACAAAGGGCATTATGTCCTATGGTACTCAGGCCATTGAGAGACACCTGGGGGAATCCCTCGGGGAGCAGGCAAGAGAGCTACAGGATGCTTCAGCAAGGCTCTAAAGCATCCTCCACCATGAGCATTTTATTGATTCAGTACTTGAGGAGACCTCTAGGAGTCTGGAAGAAGGACTGCCAAAGGCAGCACTAGAGAAAGGGGAGAGGACATGAATTCTCAGGAAGGTGGAAGCTGAAATCTTGTGACCTCTGGCAGGAAGCAGAAATCTTCTTGTCCCCTGCAGCAGTTTGCTTAGAGAACAGATATGGAGACTTAGCAATAGAAGAGGAGCATGTCCTGTTGGTGAGGAGGACAGTCCAGACCTTCCCAAGATTGGAAAGATTGAGACCACTGCCACCAAGAAGAAGCGATGGGAGGTGGCAGTTGGAGACTCCATTTGGTGTGGGATGGAAGCATCCATCTACCAGCCAGACCTGTTGTCTCAAGAGGTCTGTTGCTTATCTGTAGCCCAGATCTGAGCAGTCACAGAAGAACTGTTGAGACTCATCTGACCCTCTGACTACTACCCCATGCAGTTCATCCATGTGGGCACCAGTGATACTGCCAGGGAGACCCTGAGAAGACCAAAAGTGATTACAGGGCTCTGGGTGAGGGCTCAGGTGGTATTTTTATAGATCCTTCTAGTCAAGGGGAAGGGCCCAGGTAGGACCAGGTACATCCTGCAGATCAATGCCTGGCTGCACAGATGGTGTTGCCAACAGGGCTTTTGCTTCTTTGAGCATAGGATGATGTTCCAAGAAGGATTGCTAGGAAGAGACAGGAAGAGCATCTTCACAGATAGGCTCACTAACCTAGTGAGGAGGGTTTTAAAACATATTCACTAGTGGATAAAGACCAAAGCCCTGACATAAGTGGGGAAGTGCATGACCTGGAGGAAGTGAAAGCAGGAGGCGGCAACATGGGAGGAGTTCTTATTCTTCCTGAAAGTAGTGCAATCATCTAGCTACCTCAGGTGCCTGTACATGAATGCATGGAGCCTGGGAAACAAGCAGGAAGAACTGGAGTTCCTTGCAGTCACAGAATGATGACTGGAATAATAGAGACTTGGTAGGGTAGCTCGTATGAGTGGAGCACTGTCATGGATAGATATAAACTGTTCAGGAAGTACAGGCAGGGGAGAAGAAGAGGAGGAGCTGAACTTTATGTAAAAGAGCTGTATGATTGCTCAGAGCACCAGTATGAAATTGGAGGCAGGCCTCTAGGTTAGGGTCAGAGGGGAGAGCAACAAGGGTAATGCTATGGTGGAGGTCTGCAATAGACCACCAGACCAGGAGGATGAGTTAGAGAAGGCTTTCTTCAAACAGCTAATGAAAGTTTCCTGATGGAGTCACTCTGGTTCTTATGGGGGACTTAAATCAATGGCATCTTTTGGGAGGGCAATGCAGCAGTGCACAGGGAATCCAGGAAGTTTTTGGAGAGTGTTAGGAACAACTTCTTGGTGTGAGTGCTGGAGTGGCCAACTAGGGGCCATGCTGTCCTTTCTTCCTTTTGTCAGGATCATGAACTCAATCATCCTGCAGTCACTGCTGCCTGACTAGCCATCCACTACTACATTCCCCACCAATCCATCCCTGTTTGTGAGCAGTAGGTCAAGAAGAGCACTTAAGATGAAACAATCCCATGCACTGCTACAGGTTGGAAACTGACTGATTAAGCAGCAGCTCTGCAGAAAAGGACCGGGAGGTTACAGTGGACAATCAGCTGAATATGAGTCAACAGTGTGGCTTTCTTGTGAAGAAGGCTAATGGCATAGGCTATATTGCTAGGAACACTGCCAGCAAATCAAGGGAAAGGATTATTGCCCCTTATTTAGCACTGGTGAGAACATATCTGGGCAACTGTGTCTATTTTTGGTCGTCCCCCCACAAAGATGTGGACAAACTGGAAAGAGTCCAGCAGAGGGCAACAAAAATGGTGGGAGGGCTGGACATGACTTCTGATGAATGACTGGGTTTATTTAGTCTAAAGAACAGGAGACCGAGAGGGGATTTAATACCAGCCTTCAACTATCTGTAGCAGGATTCAAAAGAGGATGGAGCTAGACTGTTCTCAGTGATGGTAGATGACAGAACAAAAAGCAACTGTCTCAAGTTGCAGCAAGGGAAGTTTAGGTTAGATATTAGGAAGAATTTTCTCACTAGGTGGGTAGTAAAATACCCAGAGAGGTTGTGTTATCTCCATCCTTGGAGATTTTCAGGCCCTGACTAGACAAAGCTTTGGCTGGGATGATCTAGTTGGGGATGGTCCTACTTTGAGCAGGACATTGGATTTGATGACCTCCTGAGGTCCCTTCCAACCCTAATTTTTTATGATTCTATGATTCATTAAGCAAATACTAAACTAAATGTACAATAACTACTGTGCATCAGTGAACATGTAGACATGCCCTGTTTCTGATTATTTCTATCTGCCTTCTAACACACCTCAAAATATTTGTGTTTGCATATCTGATCATTATTTTGAAATGTTCTAATAGTATAGTGTACCTAATCCTCCAGAGTGTTTGGAACTAATGTCTTAATAGAGGCCAATCATCCTTTGCTTGCTAGCTTCCTCAAACCAGGAACCTCTGAGATTTCACATGCCATAACTCATCCCAGCATTGATATTTGCTGGGAAATTTGGACAAAATCAGAAATCATGTTTTAAACATTTAGTTAAGTAGACATTTCTATGTCATTTGTTTTTAGGGCATTTTCCTAATTTTCTTTCACTGTTCATATTCTGAACTAAGAAACTTCTAATTGCTTTACTTTTGTTGGTTTTGCTGAGAAGTGGTTTGGAATATATTTGGAGGATCTAAGGAAAGTATTATCTATATATCTTGATACATAAGAACTACAGCCAAATATATAATCATAGAACAAAAACTATAAAGTAACGTGCCGTAAGCTCCAGCTCTTCTGTACAGATGCTGGATTAAGCTGGAAGTTGGGAAAATCAGGATACATAGCTGAAGGATACAAGACTGAAGGAAAAAAGACCCGTGCCTGGGACTCCATGTGGTTGAGAAAGATCCTGGTGGGTCATGAATGAAGATGTGAAGGGGACCAGTGTTCTCCACTCTCAAAAGAGAGGGGTTTTGGTTGAGACAAAGATCAGGAGATATCTTATGGAAGGGACGACTGGGAGGAAATAAATGTGTGACCCAACTGATGTTGAAGAGAGATAAGGAAGATGATTAAAATGAAGCCACACATCGACACAAGAGCATTGGAATCTTGTAATAAGGAGATAAGGCTACAGGGAAGTGTTGTAGGGTGGGGCAGATGCAGACACACATGGTGAAAGGTAAGCCTTTGAACCGTAGTAAATTTTTGGTCTTATAGTTTCATAGTTCATAGTTTCATAGATTTAGGGTCGGAAGGGACCTAGTAGATCTTCTAGCCCGACCCCCCGCCAGGGCGGGAGAACAACAAAACCCCAAAACAAAAAACGGGACTCAAATGAGTCCAGCCAGGTAGGCATCCAGCCTCTTCTTAAAGACCCCCAGGGTAGGGGCCAGCACCACTTCCCTTGGAAGTTGGTTCCAGCTCCTAGCCGCCCTA